CAGGTAACTTGGGAGATCCTCACCAGGTGATGTGTCTCTGGCTCGATGGGATGAGCAGTGAGTGTGGCTGTGAGGAGCTTTGCTTTGCAGAAATCACCAGTCAGACTAGGAGGGGGGTGTAATCTCTTGCTCATAACATCAGGAAGAAGAATGAGACTGTTGTGTTTTGCATACCTAAAAACGTAGTTTCACTTTCAGATGGTCTTTAACATTACAGTCCTCAAAGTTCTTACCATTAACGTGATCCTTCTCTCCATCAATAATCTGTTTAAGTATTATAACTGTGCTTGCAAGAAGTTGCCCAGGCTTAGGGCAGGTAGTCGGTCAGTGGAAGAGCTTTACAGAGGGAAAAATCCATTCACTTCCTTTAAACAGGCAAGAAGAAGATATACTTTGATAGGCATGGCTTAGATTCTTATTTCCTTTCAGCAGAAGCGCTGCAGTGACTATTGCTGTTCATCTGCTCTTTGAGAAGGAGCACTTGGCTTGTAGGAAAGAGGAAAAATGATGACGTCTGCTGTTCTGGTTTACTCAGCTTTTCGCAAAGGCGTTTGCCGTGACTGAGTCAGTGTTAAAGTGGAGATTTACACAAACCTGGGTTGACTTGATTTAACTTTCCATTCCAAATTTCCATTCTAAAGATTGCATGAAAGCATGCAAATTTTATATGTCACGTTTACTGTGCAAACTCCGTTCCCAGCTGATGGTTCTTGAAGCCTCAGTCGGTGCAAATGATCAGGAGGGCTTTATGTAAGGACCAGTGGCAATAACAAAATACATAATCCCGAAGGAAAGGAGCATTTTTACAGCTGAAGTACTGAGTGTCATTATCAGGCTACTCCCTGGATGTTGTTGAGTTTAAAACAATGTACTGATGAATGCTTAATTTGTGGAAATGCTGGTTAATTAATACTTGATGCTAAATATGCCAAAGTTTTAAACAACTTTGGTCCTGATTTCAATGTCTGTCATCTGAAAACTTCCTATTAGTTAAAAGTAATGCTTCAAGTTTCTGTACCCACTGCCTTCTCTGTGCAAAGCCCACAGCAGAGGGGAGCGGTGGTTTTAGGGGTGTGCCAAGCCTGTGGGGTGCTGGCTGCCTCACACACGAACCTGGGCTCTTGGTTCCCGCAGGTGCGTGGTTCTCACTGTGCAACTGGGCAGTGACCGTCTTGTTTTAGAGGATCTGGCAATGGATCTTCTGTAAAATTCATAGCCATTTCCTAGCTCATTAAATAACTGCAGCGGCACGCACTGCTTCAGTGCATTTCTGGTCTTAAAACCTTAACTTTTGGGCCATTCATTTACTCCTCAGTTCCTTTGATGTAAAGATAAAATATGAAACCAAACAAAATCTCATCTTTTTGTGTCAGGTAACAGAATTCTCTTTTTCACATAGTCAGTACTGAACAAGTGAAGGTAATTCCTAGATGGTTTTCAGCTGATGCTTTTTTTGCTAAGAGCGTGCTTCGATGCAATTAATGCAAATTTTTAGATGCAGTGAAATTGTTGGGTTGTTAGTCCCCTGCTGATCTACAAATCATGCTGCAGATTTCCCTTGCTCTTGTGTCCATCTCCGAAGCTCTTGTGTCCATCTCCGAAGCTCTTGTGTCCATCTCCGAAGCTCTTGTGTCCATCTCCGAAGCTCTTGTGTCCATCTCCGAAGCTCTTGTGTCCATCTCTGAAGCTCTTGTAGGAGAAAGAGGAGAAAGGAGAGTGGTGTTCTGTCTGCTCAGACTTCTTAAGTCAGCTGTTGTAAACTCGGTGGAGTTCTGCAGTTGCCAGGTCTCAGTTTTGTTTCAGTTACTCTGGCCTGAATTTGTTTATCTGGCTGTAGAAGTCCAGAAGTCTGTTGGTATTTTTAAAGAAAAAGTGCTTAATACCTTTGAATTTGCAGCATTTGGGGAAGAAGGAGAATCAGAAGTTGTTACAGGTGCAAAGTTCATGGGAGAGATGGATAAAGGGATGAGCAGGGTGACTTCCCTTCCCTGTTAAGGAGACATCAGGTTTTAAGTATTTTTGCCTTTGGAGGAGAGAAGGAGGTCGCTAAGTTTGAGAAACACTTTATTTGAGACACAACCTCGAGCAGGAAGTAGGTGGGGAAAACGAAACCGATAGCTGAGGTAGCTGCTTGCTTGGTTCCCAGTCTCTCCTCCAGAAGCAGGCTTTCAGTTTTTTTGGGAAGTGGCCAATTCTGCTCGTCAAACCCAGCTTCATGAGAGGCAGTTCACACCCAGGCTTGCCACCTCCTGACACAAATCTGTTGTGTGATTTCACTATTTGTCCTTCTGGGTGTTAGCGGACGAGCTTAGAAGAGCATAAGCAGTTGGAAAGCTACTTGTTTAAAAACAGGGGTTTTGTTTGAGCATTTTGAGGTTTTTGTCCTTGAATTTGTTCACTGTTAAGGTGTGACAGTTGCATTTTAAGTGTGCTTTCTTTCTGCTTTTTCTTTTGTTTTCTGGTACACATTTGTACAAGTTTACTGCGGGTGCAAGGTGTGTCACTGGCACAACTCAAAGTCAGGAAATGACCCTTTTTGTCTCATTTGAGGGCAGAAAGAGTAATTCTTAAGCATTTGAAGTTGACAGTGATGAATAACTTTTGGAAACAGTAATTCCTAAAATTCTGTAATCTAGAGGACTAAATACTTCAGGTGTGAAGGAACACCAAGCCTTTCACTTTCAGGTTTTTGGTTTACTTATGTAGGTCAGGTGAGTGGTAACAGAACCTGCTGCCCTGCAGCTGCCAGGTTGTAATATGTCAGTCTACATGGGGAGATGTCTGTGGGACGACCGACACCTCCAGCTTTCAAGATTGTGTGGTTCAGGACCATCAGTGTTGTGGTCCTTTTTATTTTATTTTTATTTTTTTTTTTAAATGATTGATAAAACCAGCTAGGAAGTACACTGCGAGTTTACCTCTGGGTGGGTTAAGGGATGGAGTTCTTACTACAGTGGCTTTCAATTTACTGTCTCTTCAGGTTTGTTTATCCTATGCTGTGTGGTTGTGGTTCATGGAAAAAGTTCCAGGTAGGGAAGGATGATGAGTGGGATGAGAAAGGGGGAAGGCTTTTTGACCACTTGATGCATGGAGGCAGATCATGCACTGCTGACTGGTGAGTCATGGGGGGAAAAGGGACTGAAGTGGCCGGTGTTTGGGAGGAATTTTTAAAACAAGCACCGAGGGTAGAGGAGAGCTGTGCTGCTGGAACGAGGATCATTCAGCAGTGGCTCACTTGGGAGAACAATTATGCAAGTGACCTTTGTTGAGACCTCTGTGGACTTGGGAGTCAGACCTTTGAGAGATGTCTGAGCTGCCACCTAGGATATCTTGTGATAAACAGACGTGTCCTTTAGACCTTATATTTACTTAACAGAATTGTAACCACCGTGTTACAACAGTGCTGAGTTTCCAGCTGCTGAGCTTGTGGTTTTTGCCCCGAGGGTATTAGGGTGTTTGTTATTTGGGCTGTGATGTTTTGACCTGGGGGATGATGACAGGCAAGATGGTAAATGCAGAGATGTCGGATTATGGAAGTAGAGGATATGTCAGGAAATGGGCAGGAAGTAGAAAGACCTGAATGACTTTTGTGTGTTAGATTTCTGCAGGCTCAAAAGTGAGGGAATAAAATCTAGTTTCTGCAGCAGCTGTGTGTGAAGCACACTCACATTCAGCATGTGCTTTAAGATGGTTTTGTCAAGTGATGTGGGGTGTGTGTAAACAAATCACTTTGCAGTAGGAGTAGGGCTGTTTCTGGTGGCTTCCAGTTCCAAAATTATGGTTCAAATTATTCCTTCAGCCATTGATCTGAATTCAGTTTATTTGATTCTTGCTTGCACTTGTGACGTGAGCGAGAGCACATCTTCAGTCTGTGACTGGAAGGGAGCCTGTAAGAAAGATGGGGACAGACTTTTTAGCAGGGCCTGTAGCAATAGGACAAGGGCAAAGGTTTTAAACTAAAAGAGTGGAGTTTTAGACTAGATGTAAGGAAGACATTTTTTACACTGAGGGTGTTGAAACCCTGGCCCAGGTTGCCCAGAGAGGTGGTAGCAGCCCCATCCCTGGAAACATTCAAGGTCAGGTTGGACGGGGCTCTGAGCAACCTGATCTGGTTGAAGATGTCCCTGCTCACTGCAGGGGGTTGGACTGGATGGCCTTGAAAGGTCCCTTCCCACCCAAACCATTCCATGATTCTATGAACTGTCTGAAAAGAGGTCTTCTGAAAAGAGCTGCAAGTGGTGAGGTTTCTGATGTGGTGCCTCCCTCCTGGGTCTGGTAACAGAAGGGGTTTCTGCCAGGTGTGCTCAGTATTTAGCTGATGGACCACCTTGCCCCCTGGTCCTGCTGCCTGCACTGCTCATCTCTTGCACTAGCAATCTGAGTGTGAGTGAGCAGCTTGTTCTGTGATCTCTGGGAGGCAATTTACGATGCCTCCAGGACATGAGGACCTGATTAATAATTCTGGCTGGTGTTAATGTTGGCCTTCAGTTTCCACCTCAAAAGAAAACCATTGCTCCTGGTTCCCTAATCTCCTTCCTCATGTTGTCTCCAGCTTTTAGGATGTATGTGTATTTCTGTACTCCCATAGAACAGTGGGAAGGAATCCCTGAGGTTGCTTTTCCTCCATTTGCCTTAACAAACTCCTTTCTGTGTCATGCAACTTTTTTGTTTTGTTTTTTTTAATGTAAAAGCTTTAACCAGGCAACATTTTTCCAAAGGAAGATGTTGGAAGATACAGTTGGAATAAATTTTATAGATTAGTAAGGTTTAGACAAAGGCTTTAGACAAAGCAGTCAGTAAATGTGAACTTGGGTTTCTTTTGTTAACAGAAATGTGTGTGATAGCACTGATAGCATTGACATCACGTAATATAGCTTTTTTGTGTCAGTCTAGAGGATAAAAGGGCTTTAATTGCTTTTGTTTTCAAACAGGAATATCAAAAGAATGTAAATTTTTTTTTTAATACTAACTATATTCCTTGTTCTCTCCCTTGTAGGCTTTGAAAGAGATGCTATATGCAGCTGTGGACCAGGCCCCTTCTATAGAAGGTAAGCAAATTGTAACCGAGAATCATGTTTTTCTTGGCATTGGGTGCTAGACACGTAGTCCTGCTACTTTTCTGTCCTCAGTCCTCCTAAATTGGTAAACTTAATACAGTGATGAGCAAGTGCCTGGCCTTTCACAGCCTGCCTGTGCTATTTTTGATTGTTAGAACTCTTTGTCCTCTGTCATTAGGACAATAAATGTCTTTGTATAGTTTAGGACTTCAACAGCTGGATTCCTCTTGCTTATAAGGACATTCACTGGTGGAAGGACTTTCTTCATGGCTTGAGAATAGACCTTTATTTTCCTGTGACAGCTAGCCACTTTGAGAGACAATTGTGCTGGAGAGATACTGGTTACTGGTTTGTTACTGGTGATTTGAACTGGAAGAGTTTCATCCTTTTGTTCTGTGTCCTCCCTGAATGCTGTGCTGCCTCTCGTATGTGGACATGAATATATTTTCTTGTTTGCATGTGTTTATGATTACTGAGTTCTCTAGATAAATTATTTTAGAACAGTATTTGGTTTTAGGCTCAGTGCATTTTGAATAGTTTGTTTAATTAAGTGATGATCTGCGCAAAATTTCTCAATAGAGCCCTTTATTTTCTTTATCTTTCTTCTTCCTTTTGTTGTCTTTGAAGTACTGAATAGTTTTTGCCTTTATGTTGCTTCAATCCCTACTTTCTTGCCCTTCATGTGGATTTCAAACTGTTTTTTAACCTCTTTAAGGTTGTTATTTTCACTTTGATTTCAGTGCAGTGTTCATTTCACCAACTTCTTTGAGTGTGACTCTGGGCTTCTTTCTTGCATATTTATAGAGCAGAAGAATAACTGCTGCTCCTAGTGCAGTTGGTTGGCTAACATGAATAATGATGGTCACTATTAATGTTAGCTCATTAAATACTTTCTTTGTGTTGGTTAGAATTGGGAAATGAGGTATGACACAGTTAAAATAATGTGGAATATTAATTTTCTTTTAAAATTTAACTCTACTTGCTCTTTGATTAGAATTTCAAAACAAAAACTGCAATACTTAATAGACTAAGTGTGTGTGGGATGGAACAATCTTTCCTTGTGCTCTTCAGAGGCACAATCTAAGCTGAAAACTTCACGGGAGCAATGGTCAGACAGGTATAATCTCTGGGTTTAACCTGACACTTAGTTGCTCATTGACTCAGTTTGCCAATTTTGTTAAATTAATCCACCTTTTCTCTAAAGTGCAGGTCCTAGAACTAGATTTCTAAAGGTTATAGCCTTAGCATCATCTAAAATAAATGGGTTATCTTTGGAAAACTGAGCAAAACTTGTCAGCAATATGCTGGCAAAAGACAAAAATCTTGCATTACTTTTTTGAGTGGAAAAATTGCTTAAAAACCACCCACAAACTTTTCTTCCCAAAAGCATAAAAGCGGTTTTCTAGCTAAGAGGAACTGAAGTGTTTTGTGTAGGCCAATCTGACTATCTTTATTAACTTTTAAGGACAACTTACTAATTTTGTTGAAAATCCAGCATTAGTTTTATGGAAGACTGCAACATTTACAAGGCTCTTTTCCTTTCTTCTATCCATCAGTTTATTATGGAGCAAATGATGTCTGTGCTAATAAAATTTTGTAGTCTAATGTTTGAATGTGATTTACTGGGTTTTGCTTGTGATAGCTGGAATTTCAAGTTTGAGCTGCTTTGAATTGCTAGCTGTAAAACTCCAAAATGTTACAATTCAGCATTCTGATTTCTTTTTGTCAATGCTTGTGGTACGCTGATGTTCTGTAACCTGCCGTGATGTTTGTGTTGTGGCAAAGGGAGAGAAGGTGAAGAATAAAATGGTACGATATCATATTTATGCTCTTTTAAATGTTAAAAGAATTTCAACTTGTGCTTCTGTCTCCTCTGATGCTTTCAAAACATCAACAAAAGGACTTAACATTGTTCTACTTATGAAAAGTGTCTTCTGTTCATTTTTTGGGATCGGGTCTCTTCTTCTATACTTGTAGAGAACAAAGTCATCCAAACTAGTTTGAACCACTCGGTCTTGCCCGACTCCTTTTTAAGTAGAGAGCAGCTATAGTAATTCCTTCACCTGTTGTTTGTTAAGTGAATGTGAGTATGTGTGGATTTTTTTTAAGTTAGTTTTCAGTTTTTCTTTTCTTCCCTGCTTAAAGTCTGTTGTGCTTTTTTAGTCTCTGGGTTCCTTTCTGAAAATTGTGTGTGGCTCAGGATGGGGCCAGGCTCGTTGCGCTGGAGGGACTGAGCTGTCTGTACGGGCAGGTGTATTTGAGCCAGTAGATCCTTCTGCCATTGCCCACATGGATTCATAGAATCATAGGATTAGTATGGATTTTGTGATGGATACTTCTGTGTTATTTTGAGCTTAGCACAGAAACTACAGCAGTGTGCTGCTGAAACCCAGCTTCCCAGTATGAGCCTAATGTCATCTCATTTTAGACTGGTCTAACTAAAATCCATTTTCTAATGACACACTGTAGACATGCACAGTTGGTTTTGATTTACTTTACATGTATTGTAAAGCTGATCTTCAGTTAATATATCGGGCTGTGAAGAAAAGGGAGTTTTGTATACCAAAGCTGAGGCTGTTCCTAGTTCTTATTCTGCTTGGCTGGATGTGTAATTCAGGACTTTAGGAATTTAGGAAGAAATTCTTTCCTGTGAGGGTGGTGAGATGCTGGAACAGGTTGCCCAGAGAAGCTGTGGCTGCTCCTCCCTGGAAGTGTTGAAGGCCAGGTTGGATGAGGCTTTGAGCAACCTGGTCTAGTGGAAGGTGTCTCTGCTGATGGCAGGGGGGTTGGAACTGGATGAGCTTTAAGGTCCCTTCCAGCCCAAACCAGTCTGGGATTCTGTGATGACTTGTGAATGAGTTTTTTTTAGATTTCTGCTGCAGGCTGCTTACTATGTCAGTTGGTAAAATTTGTATAGCTACAGAAATGCTTTTTATTGCTTAGTGATATGCTGGGGCATTTTGGAAACTATTAAAAAAAAAAAAAGTGCTGTAGGGATGTTGTAAGTAATAGGCAAGGCAGGGAATAGGTGAACCATCCATCGTTAATAGCTTTCATTGGATTTGTATTTAGGAATCTCCTGTTTGCCACTGGGACGTGGGTAAACAGATCTGACCTCAGAATGACTCTTACACTCTGTGACTGATGGTCCTAGTGCTACTTTAGAGGACAAAATAGTGCTGGGAACAGGATCTTGGCTTCAAATTGTGCAATTTTTACTCTGCTGGTTATCAGGTTATATGGTGACCCTTCTCATTGTGCTACACGGAATCATCCCTACGTCCCTCTGCTTTTTTGTGTTTTCAGGTCACAGGGGCAAGCTGCCACGTTAACCAAAACCAGATGTGAATAAGCAAAACCTGTCAAGGCTGTATGCTAGGAGGAGACTGTTTACAGCTGTCCCCTGACACTATTGCAAGGTGCTGTGGCTCCCTGTGTTTCATGAGGGTTGTACCAGACTCTGTGCATGTCTTTTTTGGCAGCTGCTAGCTGTACACATAGATTTCTTTCATCTGTTCAAAGATATATATTTTTTTCCCCCTGACTGTCTACTTTGTGAGGACAGTTTTCTACATGCCAGTGTTACTCCTGCAGATGCTCATCATCTTTTTGCAAGGCTTTCCCCTGATGAAACTTGCACCATCCTTCCACCTGAGCAGCATCTGTACAAAATTAGTGTTTAGTCTGTTAATTCAATCTCATACACATCACTGGAAAAAGCATCAAATGATGGTTGATTCCCAGCTGTGTGATGGGAATTGCTTGAATTTCCCGAGAATTCTTTGATGCGTGTTTGCTTTGTTAGCTGTTTGTTATGTGCTGCTTACTGTTACTGGAGCAATCTGGATGAGTTGATGCTGCCGTGATGTTATTCTCAGTTTATGAGTCCTCATGGTGTGGCAGAAAGGCCTGCAGGTCTGGTTAGTATGAGCAAGCACCCTTCCTCAACTCTGAGCAACCTTTAGGAAGAATCTATGACAATTCAGAGGTGGAAACCCAGCGTAGCACTTGTTTTCTCTGAGGCAGAATGTGCAGTATTGCAAATACTGACCTCACCATGACTGTATTGATTTTTCTGCATTCCTTGTTCCTCCCACTGCTTCCTGTCCCGTTTGTCACCAAAGTAAAACAGGTTACTGGACCATTGTTGCTTGGAGTCCTCACGATTATTCCACTTGGTGAGCAGATGTGTCGGCATCTCCCCAAGCTCCTTATGATGCAGCTCTTCTCAGCTACAGTGGGGATGAAAGTGTGGCTGTAAATTATTCATTCTGATTATCTGCTTGAATGGAAAGGGTCCACTCTAAATACTATTTCTCAGAATATTTGTCTTTCTGATATTGAAATTTAACCTCCCTTTAATACTCGTGTAAACAAACGTTGTTGTTGTAATATCAGGTGGTACAAGAGCGTTCTGTTGTATCCTCTTATTATGGAGATTACTTATTCTGCTTAACCTCAATCCTGAATTCCAGCAGCTCCTTCTGAACAAGGATCACTGCTTGTTGAAGGGCTGTGTGGGGCTGGAATGGTGTAACAGGGAGTAGGGATGCTTTGAGATAGAATTCAAACCTAAAATGAATAAGTTAACTTTAAAATAATGTTTGCTTGGTAGGGGAAAGGCTTTAGTGGTCATGGAGATCCTCTGCTGGTACTTGTGATCTCTGTGTTCACCTATTTCCATGTGCTAGATTGGAGAAGCAGGAGGTGCAAGTTTGGGACTTTTGGAGAGTGCCAGCACTAGCAGCGTGTCCTGTGTGGTGACACCCTTGTTTCTGTTTTCATTTGTACTGCACTTGCTGTGTTAACTGACAGCTACAGATCTTTAGTTTGGTTTTATTTCTGTTCCTAAATAAATAAAACAGTATTCCTTAGGGTGATAAGTAATCTTAGTGAACAAGCAGGGTGTGGGAAATCACATTCTTTTTTTTCCAAAGGAAGTTATGAGGCTGACAGTTTTCATTTGTTATATGCAGACATGCTTTGTAGGG